AGCAGGGTGGAGGATGGACATCTAGACGATCCCAAGAGTGCACTCTTTCGGGGGGGAAAGGGAAAGAGAAACCCCTCCTTCCAAAGACTAATGTGAGTACTGATGGATTATTTGCGCCATTTCCACCCTCCGGGGTAATGGCAAGGCGAGTGCATTGTGTTCCAAAGGAAAAACGTTCTGTAGTTGTGGTAATCTTCGCCATGCCGGCTCGTGACAGAGAGAGCCACATCAACTTCTAAATTTTCTCAATGGAGTGCGATGTGTGTAATGTGTAATAAAATATAAATAAGCCTTTAAGAAGCATCTATGTGTTTCTTTTTATCAACCTTTAGATGCGTTAAAGCCAAGTACAATTTTATATGAATTCTAGATGATATGTAGTATTTTTATTTGCTACTTCATTGCTAAATGTTTCATATAAAACTGAAGAGGAAAAAACACACAGTCCCACATATAAAAGAAGAAGCAGATGGCTAAATGTGACCGTAGGAGAGAAGCAGTGAATGGAGTGGCTTCAGCATGGAGGCTTCCCGGCTCCTGGGTATGGGCCCGAGAGGGAACGGGGACATTCGTACACGTGCCTACCTGTGTTCATTAGCCGTTCGCTTCCACTGTGCCTTAAGTAGGCCATTAGTATTCATAAGAATCTACAGGTATCTTTGTTATGGTTTTTTTATCTTTTAAATGTACATATAAATGAGTATGTATTATTTATAGATGTCTTTGGATTTAGAAACATCAAGCTTGAAAAATAATGCAGCGAGGAATATTTGATGTAATGCTCACTGGGGAGGGGCGGAGAGGGGAAGAGGCAGGGACTTTCTGCAGGAAGGAAGAGCGGGTTGGGATAAGTTATCCAACCTTGCCGGGGGACTTTCCTGGAGGCTCTTTGGTGACAGTTAAATTGCAGAAAGGTCGCTGGATGAAAGAAAGGACAGTGGCCAGGGAGTTAGGAAGCCCTAGCTCTCCTGCTGGCCAGCTGTGCACTTGAGCTGGTCACTCACCCTCTCTTGCCTTGATGCCATATCTGGACATGAGCCGCGCCCGTCTGTGGCTCTGGGGTTCGGCACATTCGTACCGACTGCTCCTCGGTTGCTGGTTTCGTTTGCAGAAGAGCAGTCAGGTGGGTGAGCCATCGCTCCATGTTTTTTCAGAAGGAACATGAAGCCATGGTGCGATCAAACTACTTACCTACACACGTTGGTAAAGACCAGGAAAACAGAATTAGCTTCTCATTCTATTTTCAGTTCCTAGGCTGCTTCTACATTGGCCAAGAAAAGCAGAGCACTTACAGAAATTCCTGGTAATGACTTCTTTCTGCCTGGGTACAGAGAAACATGCCTGTCTGTAGTTTATTTTTAAATGGATAACTCATCATATTTGGGTAAAAAGTCCTGTAATCTCCAAAGACTGGCTTTCACAATTTTTTTTTTTCTACTCTGAGAGTATAGAAACAGCCTCAGATCTATTCAAATAAAGTGGTTTTTTACTGGGTGAGGAAGCAGTGCCTCTCAATCCCACTTGGGGTGCAGAAGAGGTTTTCAGCTGCTGGCCCCATAGGCTTGGGCTCAGAGCCCAGTAAGGAATAAGGGAACAGAAGCATGTGCCCTCGAGCCTGGATTTTGGTTTACTGATTGCTGGGGGGTGGGGGTTGGAACTGCAGGGCTGGTAAAGGCTGCAACTTTCCTCTCGAAAGAAATTCAGGGAGAGCGTTGGAGGGGCAGAGAGTGGTACCTGATCAGTGGTAAACGCACCCAGGACTCCTGTGCATGTGGTCCGCCCACTGGTTCCCTTACCTCTCAAGAAAGAACCCTCCCCATTCACTGTGCCCTACAGACTCATTCTTGGGAAGGTGGTGAAAGAGAAGGCACCATTAGTGTCACTCCTAACTGTCTCATTGGCACTGGAGGTATTTTAGGGATACCTGTTCTGTGATTCAGTTAGTGGGCATGGTAATTACAATGGTTCTAGCTACCATTTATGTCTGCAGTGGACTATGCCAAGTGCCCTTCTATGGTAGAACATTTAACTCTCCCGGACAACCATGGACATTTGGTGATACCATCTCCATTGTACAGATGAGCAGATTGAGGCAGAGGGCATGAGAGGAGGGTGGGCAGGTGTGGTCACTGCCATTAAATGACAGAGCTGAGCTTCAGACCCAGGTCCCTCAGCTTGTGACTTCCGTGCTCTTGACTCTGCACAGGCTAAGCCAGCCCCTGGACTGGCGTCTCGGAGACTGGGTGGAAATCCCAGATGACTCTGACTGTGCTGTGCAGACCGTGATCGAGGCTACAGGACGTAGACTTGGGAGAAGGGGTGCATGGACCTCTCTGCATCTCTGTGAGGGAACCAAAAGCTCACGGAGTCTGACGGCCCACCTTGTTTAACCCTGTGAGGCCACTCTGTTCCCGTCACCTCTCTTCGCAGCTGTCAGGAGGCCACAGCCCAAAGGGGCGTGGAGGGCTGCCAAGGCACCTGAACACCCCAGCTGTCGGCCAGGCTGGCTCACCCCAGACCGTGCGAGTGAGCTAGCCTGCCGGCTGCGCCCTCGTCCCGGCGACCACCTCCAGCCCGCTGGCCTGCACAGCCTCGGTCTGGGTAGGGGGCTCGCGGTGTTTTCCGGTATGGCTGGCTACATGAGCCTTGGGGTGCAAACCCCAGGCTGCTCTGGGGGACAGGCCCAGCAGTCCCAGCGTCGATCACCAGGGAAGGGACAGACCTCAGGCGAGAAATGGGAAATGGGAAGGCGGAAGGGGAAAGGGACATGCTCCTCCCCCTGGGCTCTGCTTGTGGGGTCGGACTTGAGGCGGGTGAGTGCCTGGGTGTGAGATCCCCCGTGGCTGCTGCTGAGAGGACCGGCCTGACACTGTCCCAGAGAACAGGCTGGGCGCCCCGTCCTCTGGCTGCCTGCCGCCTGCTTTTCACTGCTCATCTACCTCCTGCCCTGTTGTTTGGTTTTACTCCCCAAGACTCCAGAGTCAAGTCTTGTTTAAATGTTACAGCCTGGCCCCGGGAGTCGGGGAGAATCCAGGGAAGAGACTTGTCCACACTGGAGTCAGAGTGTTACGGGGCGGTGCCCCCGGGGCCATAGGGTGGTGAGTGTGGGCACCGTGGGTCTCTGACACCCGCCCACATGGACACCTGGGCAGCGCTGGGGGAGAGGGCGCTGGGTGTCAGCACACACACCCACGCCAGTCCAACCTAGGGGAGCCGCAGCTGGCCTGCCTGTCACGGAGCCAGGGGTGCGGGCACCTACCCTGCCTCTCTCGGGGTTCACACGGCGTCTGGTGAGGGAGAGGGGGTGCAGGAGCACCCCAGACAGCCCACAGCGCCAGGCAAATGAGAAGCATCATCATGAAAAGCTTAAATTTATGGGTCTGGAGGAGAAGCAACATCTGGAAAGGAATTATTGCAATTTAAAGGAAGGATGTGGGCCTGTTTATAAGAGCAAAATCTGGAAGCAATGTCTGATTTTTTTTTTAACTGGTTTGTATTCCAATCATGAACCTATGGTGTGAACATCTTCCAGATGTTCAAAGAAAAATTGTAGAAAATGAGTTGAACCTTGTAGGCATTTTCCTTCCTCGAGCAGAGCTTTACTGAGCATCTACTACGTGCCGGGTGTGCGCTCTCTGCGGACACCTTAAATGCCACTGCAGGCGAGTCAGGCTTTGGTAGGTCCAGATGGCACCTTCGGCTTCTCCTCATCTTCTAGCCTTCAGAAAATGCAAGGGTCCTCCGGTCCTGGTTCCAGTGACAGGCAGATCTATATTAACTGGTGGCAGGAGGAGGGCAGGGGGATGTGTGCTGGCATTGAGTGGTGGGGTTGGTTTGGTTGGTTTTTGTTTCTTTTCTTTTTTGGGGGTTTTGTTTTTTACCAGGGAATTTTTTTGGTGGGGGGTGGGGCTTTTGATTTGCAACTTTTTTGTTTCTGCAATGTTGCAGTGTGGGTTTCTGGCAGAGTCCTGTGATGGTATAATTTAGGATCCGGTCAGGCGATGGGCACTCCATTTTCCTTACCTTCCCGTTCTTCTCTCCACAAACCAGCCGAGGGGACTAGGAAAAGGGCCCCTTTGGTGCAAACCTGCCTGTCAGGAAGCCTCCTTGGCTGACCCATGTGCCCGGATCGTGACAGTCTCCAGTGCTTTGCCTGCAGTTTCCGCACTGCAGAGAGTGCAGGGAAACGTCCCAGGGGGGGTTTTCAGGAGGAGAAGGGGTGCAAGCAGGAGAAAGGGTGCAAGCAGGAGAGAGGTGGTCCCGGCAGGGGCGTGGAGACTGGGGCCGTCGGGGGAGCCGCAACCACGGCACAGTCCGGGCTTCCTGGCTTCTCCAGGGTCCGGGACCAGGGATGCTGTTTGGTTGGAGGAGTGCTGGGACTCCCTCTAGGGTGGAGCGGAATCCCTCTGGTGGCAGCAGGGCCTCTTGGGGAGCTGGAGCCTTCCTGGGAGACTGATGCTGTGACACAGGTGTGTCTAGTCATCTCAGGTGGCCACAACAAAATGGCATGGACTGATGGCTGCAACAGCAGAAATCGATTTTCTCACAGCCCTGGAGGCTAGGAAGTCCCAGATTAAGGTCCAGCTCTGGTGAGGGCCCTTGTCCCGGCCTGCAGATGGGCACCCTCTCTCTGTGGGGGAAGAACCAGCTCTCTGGCATCACCTCCTCTTTTACAAGGACACTAGTTCTGTCCTGTTGGCTCAGGGTGCCACCCTATGTCCCAGTTAACCTTGATCACCTCCTCAAGACTCTTTCTGCAAATACAGTCACATTAGGGGGCAGGGCTTCAGCATAGGAATTTGGGGGACTTGATTCAGTCCCTGTCAAGGTGAGAGGTGCAGAGGCGTGACATGAGGCACTGGCTGTAGAAGTTAGAACAGACAAATTCTGCTGTGTGGCAGGGGCAGGAAGGAGAAAGAGGGATTGGGATTTTCGTGATGGGTAGGCGGTAGCCGTGCCATGCCCAAGATAGGGGTCTGCAAGCAGCAAATTTGAGGAACATAGATCGGTTTTATGAATAAAGTCTCAACTAGGAGGGGGTTGGGAATATTGGTTCCTAGAGTTGGAGGAGAGGGCAAAAAAATCTTAGATGTTACAGTGGTTTGTGACCCCACAGAGCTCAACCCCATCTGACGAAATCTTACTCCTTAGAGTTTATTTTCTCTTTTAGGGAGAATTTAAATATAATTTTTCTCTTGTGGGGTGGGGAGTGGTGATAATGAACAAAAGATTGAGAAACACCAAATTCATAGTGGTGGAGAATCCAGGCAAGTGGCCTTACTCTTGACAGAGGCTCAGGGGAAGGAGGGGGTGGCTTGAGCCTTATCTGTTGCAGGAGGGTCTGTGGAAGACGAGGGGAGCACTTGGAAAGGGGACCCCCACCAGGACATCTGGGAGCTGCTGGGAAGTGGGTAAGGGGCGGAGGGCAGCTGGGGCAGCAGGGACAGAGTGGCATGAGGGCTGCCTGCTGACCTCTGTGTCTTTTTTCAGCCCGTTGGTGGTGACTGCAGAGTGAACGCAAGACGGCTTATTTGCCGTGAGCCTCTGTTTCCTCCTCTGTAAAATGGGGATAATAAAAATGATCAACTCATAAATATTTTAGAAAAAATCAATAAGAAAATGTAAACTTCTAGAATTATGAAAATGTTGTCCTCTCTCAATCAGGCCCCGGGGCCTCTGCAGACACTATCTTTCTTGCCCAGGAAAAAGCTTGCCAGGAGGTGCATCCTAGCAGTTGAAAATAAGTAATGGATCTCATCAATGGCCAATTCTGGCTCCGTAATGGAACAGGAAGCCTCTGCCTCGCGCCGGGTGGACTCCCATAATGTATTTCATCTTTGCACCTTCATTCCTCCCTTTTAAAAGCAGAGCCTTCCATACCCCTCAGCCCACGAACTGTCGTGAACCTGATGGATAAACCTTCTAGGAGTGTTTATTTTTGTGTTGGCAAGACGCCTGCAGGCTTTGGTGAGCCCATGGTTGGTATTATTAATGGATGGCCTGTTTTCCTCTCTTCTTAAAAGAAACAGGGTATGAATGAGAGTTCCCCTTGCAGCATACATCTGGAGCCCACACTGGAGACCGTTGTCGGGGTGACTGGAATGCTGTGTTGGGGCTGCCAGGAGGGTGGGCTGGGGAGCTGGTTGTCTCCCCATGGTTTACAGCCTCGGGTCACTTTGCTTTGCTTCTCTGAGGAAGAAAGACTGTTTGTTTCCCACTTTGCTGAGGGGTGCTGAACTTCTGGGCTCTGGGGCCGTAATTGGGGAGCGCGGTCAAGACACAGGCAGGGCTGCTTTCTGATCCTGCATCAGACTGGAGACTCTCTAATTGGTTTCTCCTCTCTGAAGGCATTTTCTCTCCAAAAAAAACCCCAAACAAACAAACAAACATTGGTGTCTTTTATAAAGAAGTAAAAACTGTTGGGGCCCTTGCTTATCATTCTCTTGGCAATCGATTTGGTTCATGTCAGGAATCGTCTTCTTTTATAAACTTAAAACAGATCTCAAAATGTTTCTTTAGTGTAAGTTTGAAGCTCTCCCAGGTTTTAACCCAAACAGCCCATTCAAGGGTCTTGCTTTCCTCTTGGTCTTAATACCTTGTCAAAGTCAATTAGCATCTCTTAAGCTCCTTGGGAAGCTGAAGGTCATAAGAGGCTTTTCACCTGCAGTAACTGATTACCTACTATATTTTTTAAATAAAGAGTCTCCTATCCTTTGGCTTTTAAATGTTATTTTCCTTAAGACTGTAAACTGTGCTTTGATAATGAAATTAGTGAAAGGCAAAGGTGACCAGAGGTGTCCAAAATTAAGCCCTAAGAGCTTTAAGTGACCTCTCCATCTCACCTGAAGATAGAAAACCTTACCTAGCTGCCTGTGATTTTGTGGGTTCATTCCTGAGATTCCTTTTCCCAAGCCATGATCTTTGGAAACATAAGGTTTTACAATGTTCACTTGGGAACAAAATTATTACTAGAAATCGGTTCTAGTAATTTATTTTAAAATCCCTTTAAATACCGTGCATCTCATTAGAGTATTAATAGAATGTGTTTATGTGCGTGGATGTATCTCATACGCCTCCTAAGAAGAACAAATAATGAGTTGAGGATCTGTTATACAGCACCGTGGGATGCATGCTATGGACCAGAGATTCAAACAGATGATGTCTATTTCTCAGGAAGCCCAGGATCTAACTACAAGGAGTGGAGGTCGGGGTAGGAAGAAAGAGATCAAGGAAGGGAAGATGTGAAAAAGTAAATAAAATCTGAGACAGACACTAATGCCAAGCGTGAGCTGAGAACAGTTGGAAACCCCTCCAGGGAAGAGTTTGTGGTTGGGGTGGGCAAAGGCGTCGTGAAGCAGGTGCCACTTGCCCTGGGACTCTGGGTGGGTGATGTCAATGCTGAGACTGCTGTTAGTGGAGGAGGAGGAGGGTTATATAATGGGATCTCTAGTTTTTAGAATGGGAAACAAGAGTTCATAGGAATTAAATAACTTACCTGGTGTCACAAAACTAAGGGGCAGTGTTAGAATTCTAATTCAGATCTGTCTGATCCCAAAGTCCTGCTTTTAACCCTCTCTGCAAATGCATCTGTTGGGGCCTTGAAAGGAAATAGACACGTTCAAATGTGTAATTTGAGGAGAGTTAAATGAAAGGACTGTGCACAAAGGAGTAGGCGCAGGATAAAGAACCCGCCATAGAGCCTACCCAGGGCTCATAGCGGGGCTGAGGGAAGTTACCGCCTCTGAGCCTAAGCGGGCAGGGGAGGGAGCTATTGCTGGACCCAGAGAGAGAGCCACGTGCAGCACCCGGTCCCCCAAGGAGGGCCATGACCTTCAGCCGAGGGACACTGGGGGAGGGAAGCAGGGGAATAAATACCTGACCCCAGCCCAATCCCCAATGTCCTGCAAGTGCCTGCCTGGACTGCACCTACCCAGAAGTCAGAGGGTCTCAGAGCTGGAGGGGTGGTCAGGTGAGGCGCCCAGGGCACAGAACAGGGTGGGGCAGTGGAAGGCAAACCCGGAAGACACCCAGCACAGTCTGTACTGGCCAACGTGTCCGCTCATAGGGCTATTTTCCTTAGCACATGAGGGAAAAGTCCCAAAGAACTCAGCTTTGTACATGGTTTATTTTTGTTCAGGACAGTTTCAGTTATCTCCTCTAGAAGTTGCCTCCGAGGACCACAGAGTAGGAAGGGCAAGGCCATTGTCACTGGGACGGGCAGGCAGCCCTGTGCCCTCTTCCCCCTCTGCCCCTCCGTGCTCCTGTCTGGCCTGTGTCATGCCCATCATCGGCACAGCCTCGTTGCCGCTGGGCCGCAGCGTTGGCTGGCGGAAGACAGTTGAGCCATCCGGGCTGAGGGGAAGGGAAGCAGGTTAACCTGATACTGACCTCTGAGAGTTTGGGGAGCCCCTTCCAAAGATGGCAGCTGGGATCTTTGGGCTCCGAGTTAGTAGCCTTTATGGCCCCACACAGTCGAGACACTCGCCTCCTACTACGGTCTCCCTCATCCAGCCGCAGGGGCTTCCCTGCTGGCCCTGGGACACTCCAATCACGTTCCCCCTCCGGTGCTGGCTCCGGCTCTTCCCTCCGCCTGGAACGCTCGGCTCAGCCCAGAGCCCCGCGTGACCTGCCGCTCATGTCCTCGAAGTGTGCGCTCACGTGTCATCCTCTCACCAGGCTGGCCCTGCCCACCCTGTTCACACCACCATCCTCCAGCACCCCACACGCTGCTCGCTCTTCTCAAATAAGTAGCACTTACTGCCTTCTAATGTGCTAGCAGTTTTCGCTTAGTTCTTAAGTGTATTATATATTTTATGTTTCCACCATCTAGAATATGAGCTCCACGAGGGCAGGAATATTTGTTTTATTCACTCATGTGCCTAGAACATTGCCTGACACATGGCAGGCACCCAGTGAATATTTATTCGTTATTATGTAATATTTATTCATTATTATATCTCATTCATTCGTGAATGAATGAGATTCTCGACAACCTAAAAATGGTTTGACCCCCATCTCCCAGACCTCTCCCTTTCCACCAACACATACCTGCCCAGGATCTGCCCCAGAAATACACTGACCTTTTTCTTATCACCAGTATTGCCGAAACCTTGCAGCTAACTCGATCGATTGTGCATCCCGTAGGCTTGGTAGAGGAAATGTACTCACCACCTTGGCTCTGGGTCAAAATCAAACGGTGACCTTGGCTTCCTCTGCTTCCCCACAGAGGTTATTTCTTCATCGTAAAGGGAACGCTCTGTCCTTGGGAAAAATAATATATTTTTGCCACCTTCAGCTTTACAATGGCTACTTGATACGGCCCACGTGCGTCTCTGTCAGGGGCAGCTGCAAAAGCTTAGGTGGGGAGGCTCTGAGAAAGCCGGCCATCGGGTGGAATCGGTTTACAATAACTTATTTACCTGTCCAAATCCTTCATGTAGCATTAAAGCTTTCCCCTGCTACCCAGGACTCTGGAGTGCTAAGAGGAAAAAGGAAAATCAATTGATAATGATATATCCAGTTTAAAAAAATATATCGATTCCCAGGTAATGACAGTCGTGGGTTTCTGCAGTGAGAATGCCATTTCCCGTCGTGAAGATGACTTTCTCATACATTACCTTTAAAAGAGGGGACTAGGAATAGCCCCGCCTCCCCATAACAGATAGCCTCTATCGACGAGGCATTAAAACTATAATTTTTTTAAGAAAAATTTTCTCCAGGGAACCTATTCTTTGCCTCCTCAAGGTCTTCTTGCCCATTGTCTGAAAGAAGTAATGATTTGTTTTTGTAATTCTAGAGTTTGCATCCTTTTCAGCATTAGATTAAAGACTTAAATTTTTTATTTTTCCCCATTGCTGGAGTTTCTTCCTTTGGATTAGATGGGAGACAATGCCATTGTTCTCGCTCTTATTCAGCTTCAATGGCTCTATGGTGGGGATTAGGGCTTTGTGTGTGCGGGACAGCCAGGGATACCTAGTGTCTGCCACTTGGGTTACTCTGCTACTCACTTTGCCCCGTCATCTGAGTGTGGGGCAGAGTCTGGGACCCCCCATGTGAGACAGTCCACACCAGGCAGCTCACATCGGGGCAGTCCAAGGCAGAGACTAGCATCCATTCGGGGAACTCAAAGTAGATCTTTTTACAAAAAAATGATACCTTTTCCCCACCCCAACCCCACTCTTTTCACCTCTGTTTCTAGACTGTCTGGCTTCCTGGTGATGCTCGCGCCTTGCTAAGTGTTGGTGGCCATCGAGGATTTTACATCCTGGGGACGAATCCAGAGCTTGCCAGAGACGGGCGGCGCAAGGTAGGTCTCTGCTCAGCTCACCTGGAAATAAGAGCGGCCTGAGGCCTGGGCACAGCCGGCTCTCTCCTCTGACACGCACACGTGGGCTCTGACGGAAGGGAGGAGAATGTAGCTGGCCCCCTCACCCCTTTGGTCAGCGAGATCTTACCACAGGCATGTGACCCGCCGGTGCCAGGCTTAGCTAAGACATCTTGGCCTCAGCCCTCCTGGAATCCACTCGAGAGATCACTGTGACTCTTCTTCGCTTACCTGGGTCTTGGGTTTCCCCAGGAGGTTAGATCTGGGGGTGACCAGCAGCTAGGTGACCTTTAGCTCCCCAAATACTGTCATTCTTCCTTCTTTTGTAATTTAACTGATTTAAGTTTTATAATTTAACTTTTTTGTTGCTAAAATATATTATTAAATGTCACGAGAATATTATTTGTTCATTGTAAAAAGAGTTTAAAAGATAGTAGCTAAAATTATAGAAATGACTTATACACATATTCCCCAGAGATAACCATTTCAGGTCTCTCTCCAGGCTTTTTTTCTTAAGCACATGCACACACCACCCTGATCGTACTGTAGATACTACTTGGTGGCACGTCATTTTGAGTCAACAATATGTCAAGGTATTTTTTTATGTCAGTAAATAGAATCTATGTCATCATTTACACGTAACCACACAACAAATGCCTTTTCCTATGTATCTTTCCATAGTCACTTGATTATTTCCTTGGGTTAAATTTATAGAAGTCTGGCCTAAAGTTTTGATTCCAGGTTCTCAAACCAGATTCAGGCAGCTGGGAGAGCAGGGCGAATGTGGCCTACCTTGGGAGGGTGAGATCTTCTGAAAAGAGTCTACAAGATTGCTCTAGCTCCCAGCCTGCAGGCCGGGAATGTGCCTGCAGATGCAGGCAGGCCTGGAGCTGGGCTTGGCAACACTCACCCCATTGAAGAAACAGGGTTGGACCTGGGGTTCAGGACAGTGGAGGCTGAGCTGGCCCAGCCTGGCATGTCCTTGTGGCACTTGAGCCTTTGGGAGGCCATGGGCCAAAGCTGCGTCTGCACAACACACAAGGCCTGGTGCCAGGTGAGCACAGGCCATAGTGGCCCCAGCACCGTGTTATTCTCAGCGCCCTGCTCTGATGCCCTCTGTCCCTCCTGGCCTCTGCCTGTGCCCCCAGCTTCCCTCTGCAGCAGGGGCAGAGCATCAGAACAGAGTCCCTGCCATGTCCAGATTCTCTGCTGTCAGAGAGCTTTCTCTGTGGACGCAGAGACGGCGCGGTTGAGGATGGCCCTCCCCTGCCAGAGCCCTTGCACAGAGAGAAAATGTGGCGCGAGGATCTCAGGCTGCAGGAAACCGTGGTTGTCAGCAGGAAGTGGGAAGAGGCCCCGGCCTGGGCCGGGATCAGCCACTGAAGGGGCAGCAGCCCTGCCACCCACCCCACTGCGCATCCAGCCTGCTGCCACCCAGCAGCCCAGCGGGGACAGCCAGAGCAGGACAGATGGGTTCCTGACCTCGAGAGCTGGTGGGCTGTTGGCACACGCCTCCTGGCACCGCTGACTGGGGACAGCTGGCCTTGTTAGTTATCCCGGACACTTGGGAGTGGTTTGCCTCTGTGTCTGTCAGGTCAGAGAAGGGGAGTTGAAAAACAAGACAGTGTAAGCCTCGCTTTGGTGACGATAGCATTTCCAGCTCCTAGACGGGCAGAGAAAAGATTCGAAGATGCTGTTCACAGAAGTCAGCTTTCCTTGGATGTGCCTTCGAGCTTTAGACGCTATGGCAGGAGGGAAGGGGATAGACAGCCCCCAGGGCGGTGGGTCTTGGTGTCTCACATGGTGGCCTTTAGCTTGGGGTCGTCTCTTCCCTGCTGCTGATGCAGAGTGACAGGTGGTTCTTGTTCATGCCAGCCCCCAAGAAGGACGGGAGGGACCTTGAAGGTGGTCTCACCAGGCATGCCTGGTAGGATGCACCCTTTGTGGGCCTCAGTCTCTGTGTCCCCAGACTCATGTCTGTCTTCCTTACGACTTGGCCAGCGCCTGGAGGATGGGAATCCCCTCTGAGCCATCTCTGGTTCTGTCCCCACCACCCCCACCAGCGCCTGCTGGCCTTGGAGTAAACACATGGCCCCACTGCAGCCAAGACCGTGCCTGAGGTCACGCCCCACGCCTGGCCGAGTGCTGCCATGTGCTCTCCCCTTACTGAGCCCATCGATTCCCAAGAAGATAAGAAGGTTCCGAGACCCACTGTGGCCTGCTGATCAGTGGCAGAACCTATCAGCTTACTGTGGAAACTGGGCCAGCTCGCCAGGCTCCGCGTAACCTGCTACTGAGCTGGCTGTTCAGGGGCAGAGCACTGAGGGCTGCTCTCTGCTTTTCAGCGGTTTGATGAAAACCACCCAAGTAAGCAAGGGTGCGCTAGCAGGAGTGAAATCTGACACCGGCACTGGGGGCGGGGCGGGAAGCTGAGCTGAGGACTGGGTTTGTGCAGGACCACAGGCTGCGCCAAGAATGGCCTTGGGGACACCTGGGGCTTTGGCGGTGGTGCGGGGCAGTGCAGATCATCGCTGGCGCAGGAGCCACCTTGTGTGCGTCCCTGCCTTCCTTTTTGCAACTGTCTTGGTACTGCCTCTCCGGGCCATTCACCCCACTGCCCCCAGCAGACAAAACGCCCTGCCTGCCCCCTGCATCCTCGAGGTCATTGCAAATGTCTCCGGAGCTAATGGGACTTGGAGCTGTTCCATCAAAGTGCACCGTGTGCCGCTGGGCCCGGCTCCCGAGGTCACCGCGGCTGCGCTCCCCGCCGGTCCTGCAGGCGCCCTCCCTGCTGGCCACTCTCTCCTGTCCTCTGCCTGCCCTCACTCTGGCGCTAGGACAGCCCTGCTTCCTGGAGCTGTCTGGGCCCTCCTCCACTCCCCCGTTCCTTCTCCATGCCCTGTGGCCTCCGTGGTGTCCTCCCCAAGGATGGACCTGAGGGCACACACCTCGGGGCTTCTGGCCAACACACACAGACACTTTGCCACCCTCTTGTCCTCTGACTCTCACTGCCTTTCCTGGCCACATTAGGGACCTCCGCAGCCCCTTCCTCCACGGGGCATTGGGGCGCTCAGACCCCCGAGAAGGCTGCATGGCCACCCAGCTGGCTGGGGCCCATATCCCCCAGCAGAGCTTTAGCTGAGCCCTCGGCCCTGCTTGGGTGTCATTTGGGGCTGCTGGCCCATTCCCGCCAGCACCCTGCGCTGTTCCATAGCTTCCACTGATAGGGCCTCAAGACCCCCAGCCTGCCCCATCCACCTCGGGATCAGCAAGTGAGCTGCTCTCCCTCTTGCCACGAGGACCGCGGGCCTCCAACTCCACCCCGTCCTGTAAGTTAGGGGTGTCCTCAGGGGTGTCCCTGGCTCCAGCCATCTCTACTGCCCTGTTCCAGCTGTCCCCAGGCTTGACTCCAACATGGCACCTCTGTCCTAAGGCCCAGACCCTTCTCCAAAGGCTCCTGCGTCAGTTCCCTGCCTGTCTGGTTCGCAGCCCGGACTCGGCTGGTCTGAAAAAAAGCTGCTGCATTGCTGCCTCGATGACCACTTCTGTGAGGGACGCCTCCGCCATGCTCTTGCCTCGGCTCCGAATCTCAATCTTCTTTGCCGTGGGCTTCTCACTGTCCTTCCTGGACCCTGGGCTCCTTGGGGACAGGGACATTCTCTCCTCTCTATAAGCCCAGCCCGGGGACCAGTCCACGCACACCTCGTGGGACCAGATGATCTTATTCAGTTCGGAGGTCACAGGGCCACACACAGTGTTGTCATGAGCAGTGTGGTGGAGGGGACCCAGGGCTTGGAGGCGGGCCCCTGGCGTCTAGTCCCAACTCTACGGCTAACTCTGGGCAAGCCCTGTAAAACCTCTGAGCCTTGGTCTTTCCAGCTGTAAAATGGGAATGACACTGACCCTCCCACCTCTCAGGAGAATACCAAGAGGTTAAGGGGAAGAACAGTGCCAGCTGGGCCAGCAGTGCCAGCCCTCGGTGCACATGGGACTCACCTGCAGAGCTTTAAAACTACAGATGATGCCAGAGTCCTTCCCCCAGATATTCTAATTTAATTGTTCTCAAGAGATTGGGTGTCAGTGTGTTTTAGAACTTTAACCACTACTTTCAACATAAAGGTGTTACCAAATTCCTGAATGCTGTGCCTTGAAGAATTGAGAAGGAAGTTATGGAGATTTTGCAAAACATTATTCCCAGGTGATGGATAATCCATCTATTCTTTCAGATGCTCTAAAATCTCCCTGGATCAAAGTGTCCGATAGCTGGGTACCTCGGCCATGTCATGCCGTGCTCATCTTACCCATTCCACCCCAGAATGCGTTCACATGAGCTCTACAGGGTTCTAGAACATCTGCCGCCCCGCAGATCACAGCGATGTGCTCGCATTTGGGATTTTGTGGCTGTGCATTTTGATCCTGCCACTTGTGACTCCTTGGCTAGGACCCTTGGGAGAAGTAGCTCTGATTTCAGCACAGACATATTCTTCTCCCAAGCCATTGTCACGGTGGCTCACAGATCCGTGAATCGTGTTGTAATAGATCAGAGTCTTGTTTGCCTCTCCCAGGCTCTCTAAGCAGCAGCTCTCAACCTGGCTGCATATTAAACTCACCTGGGGAGAGTTCTGAATTCCCCAGACCCAGGCTACATACCAGATCGATGAGATCAACATCTGTGTGCAGTGGGCCCAGGCATTAGTATTTTTGTAAACTCCCCAGGAAACTCCAATGGGCAGCTAAGGCCAGAAGCACTGCCAGGCCTGGAGGCAAATTCGTGGCCCCCCTGTAGCCCAGGCATGGGACTTTCTAAATATGATTTCATGTAGGCGACATTCCCCGCTCCATTTCCTGCGCCTACACTTGTTATTCTCTCTCCTGCTTTTGATTTATGATGTCTTAACGTATCCTTTTAGGTCCCCTGCAATCCTTTCTGGAACTCAGGGAGGTGAAAACAAACAGAATAGAAAGTTCCCTGCTTTTCTCGGGCTGGGACCTGGGCACAGCTCCCACCCTAATCAGGCCTCCCAGAAAGAGGGCTGGAGCCTCCCCCTGGCCAGCCGCAGGCTGGGTCAGTGGCCTCATTCTGGTAATTCCACATGAGAGAATTGCAGCCAGGTCTGCCGAGAGCCCTCCAAGGCCCCATAGGAGAGGCTTGCTCCATTCCCAGCATCTGCAGTGCTGAAATGGGACTGGGGGAGGCCAGGGATGGCTGGGGCTGGCCACCAGAGCATCACCCGACCCAGGACGGCGGCCAGTTGGGACCCCCTCCTCTGCCATTCTGGTCCTTTCCACTCAGCCCCACACCAAGGAGCAGGCGGAGATTGCTGGCAAAAGGCAGGCGATGCCCAGGGCAGGACTGGGAATCTTTCTAAATCCTGGAGGCCAAGGGGCTGGGAACAGCACGCACAGGGCAGTCTCTGCGCTAACGGCAGGCGGGGTGGAGGGGCATGCAGCAGTCCAGACTAGCTGCACAACCTCATTTGGCACCTGGGCTAGAAATAGCTTCTCTGCAAACCTCAGAGTTTATTTTTGTGGCAAAATTTGATTTTCCAAGCAGCCGGTCTCCTTGCTTACCTTGCACCTGCTCCAGGGGCTGGGGCTGCCGGGAACAGTTGTGAGTCTGTGTCCTCCGTGAGGGCATCTGGCTGAGGCGCCGTGGGGCTGTCGCCCAGCCTGGGCTCTCTCTGGGAGCTCAGCTGTGCCCTTGAGAGCTCGGAGGGAGGGAGGGGCGACTCTTCTAATTTGCACAAAAATACTGAATTAGGCTAGTAGTGGCTCTGCCGGCACCCTGCTCAGGGAAGCACCATGTGTGCATGTATGGAGTGACCATGCTCCAAAATGTGTGGACCCTTATTGGTGATCCCATTTACTCATACTCAAAAGCCACTCAAAAAACTTTTAAGCTTTAGTCTTCTAATCATGAATTTCTCTCCTTCCCCCTCCCCCTTCTCTCTCTTACAACAGGACAGATAGTACCAGGAGTGTTGGGGGTTGTAGGTTGAATACCCAGCACATGGTGAAACAGAAGGGTGTTTCAGCATTCATTCATTCATTCATTCATTCACGTATCGGCAGCCACTCTGCAAGTTGTTCTTATTGGGATCCAGAGGTGTCAGACCAAAGCCCTGTCCTCAAGGGGCTCTCAGTCAGTGGGGAGACCAGCAAGTAAATACATTCTTTTGTGACAAACATGATCAATTCTTATGCGATAAATACGTGAGAAATGCAACAAGAAAAATTTATTAAAAGTGCCATAGAAGAACCACTCATTCACTGAGCAGGTATTAACTGAGCACCTATTATAGCGCTGGGCATTGTTCTAGGCACCGGGGATATCACAGTCACCATGTGAGACAGAATCCCCCGACCTGGAGCATACATTTGAGGAGATGGTCAAAACCCCAGGCTTCAGTGAAGAGGTTACTTTAAGCTGCAAATCAAAGTCCATGTGTGTGCAGGGAACATTCCAGGCAATGGGAGCAGCTTGTGCAAAGGCCTGAGGACAGAAAAGGACCTGAGAGATCAGAGCATAAGTGCTAAGAATTGGGGGATGTCGCTGAAAGGATGGTTGGGTCTCAGCAGTGATGGGCCTTGAAGGCCATGCCAAGCCTCCTGACAATGGGGACATAGCTGGCCCAGCCATCCTCACAGCCAAGCTTCTGTGCACTCCCCAACCCCAAAACAGAGACTCCTTGGCAACCACCACCCCACCCCCAATTTGTTAGAACATCCAAGGCTAAAGAAGTATGACTTATGTTACCTCCTGTGACCCAGTGCTTTTACTTTACGAAGTGTTTTCACATAATTGCCTCTCTTGAGTCGTGAGAAGGACCCTAGGAAGTAGACAGGGACTATTGTTGCCATTTATTGTACCAAGGAGCAAACCAAGGCCCAGAGAGGGCCAGTGTCTTGCCCAAGGTCACACAGCCAGTCAAAGCAGAGCAGACACTAGAGCCCCTGCCTCCTGGTTCCTAATCCAGAGGCCCCCACACCCCATATCAACTGCCACTTTTTATGTTGAAGCCTCTGTAAAACCCTCTGAGCAAGTACCAAGCATGTGCCTGCCTGCCTTCTGCAAGCATTAGTTGAGCACATACTATGTGCCAAGCCCAGTGTTGAATGGCCATCTGCTGGGCCTCAATGTGGTCCCAACCCCCACCCAGGAAGAAAACGGAAAGGGCCACATCTGGGCTGTCCTCTTCCCACCCACCATGATCCAACAGGCTTAAGGACCATGAGTCGGCCAGACCCAGGGCGGCACCCTCCTGAGCCACGAGGCTCAGAATCACCATCACAGGTG